TGTATATATCTTTCAAAGGAACATCCACGATACAATTCTTTTCAAAATCAGCAAATTCTATCAAAAATCTATAATAAAATTTTAATTGTACGAATAATAATACACCCATAAACATAAATCGTGTTTGATTAGTAATGTAAATTAATAAAAAAGTCGACATTTTTCTTCTTCTTTCATTTTAACTTTAAACCGATATAATTATCGAGTCACCCCGTATATATATATATAACATGTGTATAATATTAACAATGTTTTATTACCAACATAACTTTATAATAATTATAATTTTTTAATGATTATTATTATTGAATCACCTTGTATACGATATACATAGACATATATATGTACATAAAGATAGATTAGATTGAAAATTTAATATAAAGTTTTAATTAATAACAAATAAAAGATTTTCAACTGTTTTTAATTATTAATTATAAATTGATAAAAATCGCCATTTTTTTAATTTTTACTTAGAACTGATATAATTATTATATTATAATATATATATATATATATATATATATATATATGCATATACGAGTATGTATGTAACTCAATTATTACATCGCACCGTAATCAACGACACAATAATTCATTTCAATATCGACCATTAAGTATTGAAATTATACGAATAAATTGATTCTGTTCAATTATTTTGAGATTATATAAATGGAAATATATAAATAAGAAAACGAACATGTTAAACCATTAACGAGCTTGATGAGGAACGATTATGGTTTCTAGAATGAAGTTTTGAAAGGGTAATAAATCCCATGGCAACTGACCGATTTCGTCTTGATAAGGGTTCACACACAGTGGGTGGAATGGTAACAATAGGGTTGTAAATTTAAATTGCTAATTTTCTGTAACGTGCGTTATATTAACAAAGAATTGTGGAATAATAAAGAATTCTGAAGTACGGTGGATAACTTATTTTCATTTCTTACGTAAAAATTATAAAAGGAAAGAAGAAAAAGAAGATGAAAAAAAAAAAAAAAACGAAAGAAAGAAAGAATGAAAGAACATAAAGAGATGATTGATCGGCTTTCTTTCTAACTGTAATTTATTAATTAAAACTAGAGATTAGTATAGTTTGATATATTTTTTATTGAACAAAAGTATAAGATTAGATTTTTCATTTATTATTTATAGAAAAGTAAAATAGAATAAGCTGATAAATTATTATTTAAAAAGATGAGAATTGGATTAATGCTTCCTTGCAATTTGTTACATAAAAATAAATGTTAAATTAAAATAATTAATAACAATTTAATATATAAAATAATTAATAGTAATTCATTATCTTACAAAAGTATTCGTTACGTTTTGTAATCTTTTTAAAAAAGCTTATCATACGATTTATCAATTATATTAAATACATAATACGAATAAAATGAATTAAATAATTAAAATAATAATTTATTGATTATAAATAAAAAATTATTAATTAATTAATTTAATATTATTATTAACTTTTATTATAATTAAACTATGGCAAATTTAATTAAATTATTATCATATCTTATTATTTAAATATAGAGATTAGATTATGTTAGACTTTTTAAACTTTTCTAATAAAACTTGTAATTTATAAAAATTAAAAAAAAAAAAAAAAAAGAAAAAAAAGAAAAAAGTAAATAACACATACATATAAACTCGTATATGTTGTCAAATATATGATATATGTAGATTGACTATTTTTTTTTTTATTTTTTTTTTTATTTGTTTTTAAGAAACAAAGAATTAAACGATATAGAAGAGAGTATGCATTTCGCCCATTTTATTTTATTTTATTTTCTTTTTTGTGTTCCTTTTCCTTTTTTTTTTTTCACAATAAAATATCGTAAGCAGTTCCTTTGACAATGTGTTCCGTTTGAAAATGATGGCGGATAATATAAAAGACAAAACTAGAGTATTGTTTAACGATAGTCGACCGCTCTATACATACATACTACATATATATATATATATGTATAATATGTATCTATAGAGTTGCTGATATTAACTTGAAAAGACTGCAACGTTGCGAGTTGAAAGAGCCGTTTGCAAATAAAAAAAAATAAAAAATAAAAAAATAAAAAAGAAAAAAGAAAAGAAAAGAAAAAAAAAAAGAAGAAGAAGAAGAGAAAAAGGGAGAAAAAGTAGAAAAAAAAAAAGAAAAAGAAGGATTTTCATGTGAGAATCAGTGTGGTTGCAACGAGCGTCTTGTTTACATCTGACGTAATATGAATTGCTCGATCGTTCTTTGGTTAAATGCAAATTTTATTTCACGAAAGCTTAAAATTATATATTTATATTTTCAACGAGCATAATACTTTGGGTATTATTTTAAATGAAAATAAATACAAATTTTAATTCAAATGTACGACGACGAAGATTATCAAATAGTTTGTATTAATTGTAATAAAAAATTTATAACGTTTTAAATGTTTATACACTTAAAATGTTATACACTTAAACAATAATATAAATATTTCTACTTGTATTAAAAAAAGATGATATATTTTTTATTTCAGCGTATTCATAACAAATTTATTTTTTTCTTTTTTTGTTATTATGTTTATTTTTATTTTTATTTCGAATATACGATGAAGATCTTTATTTTTCATCGACAAAGTCAATAGTGATTTCTATTTTTTTTTTCTTTTTTTTTTAAATTTTCTAGGTATTTGTTTTTTTTTTCTTGTTTTTCTTTTTAACACCTCTCTCTCTCTCTCTCTCTCTCTCTCTCTCTTTGCAATCAACATACCGACGGTTTTTGAAAAAAAAAAAGAGAAAAAGAAAAAAGAATCGTACGACTGTTTAGAGAATTCTATTAGAAATTCACTTCACGTGTGTTTCGTTGGTTCTATATATCGAAACTATGCCATCGATCGTTCACATGGTCCACGTTTGTTATTAGAGAACCGTGAACGTGTTAACAGAGTTTACTATCCTAAATATTCGATCCTTAGGTGTGTTCGTTAGTTTCGACAAAGATTAATTATCGATTACGATGGGAGTTTAGTTTAACGCCGAATCGTGAGAAATGCCTAAGACATAAATTTCGAAGAATTAAAATCAAATCGGAAAAAAAAAAGTAATAAAAAAAAAACAAACAATATTTAAACATCCGTCCTGAGATTGGTTCAATGATAAAAATAATTTCAATTGTTTATTACCGACATATAATAATTTTAATATCGTTAACATGCGAATTATTGTTACGCGTAATTGAAAAAAAAAAAAGAAAATAAAATAAAATAGAATAAAATCAAATAAAAAGAAATGACAAAAGAGATTTTCTTTTCTTTATTCCTCGTTACGTTGTATCAATTTGAATGTATTAATTTGATTAATGGAAAGATAATGCGACTTTTAATAAAAATAATAAATTGATAATAATAAAATAAAATAAAAAAAAATATATTATAATAATAAGTTGGATATAAATAGAAATAAAAAAAGAACAATATTTTTAATTTGTCAATTATAGAAATAGCAAATTGTTAATGGAAATATTCAATATGATTTTTAATAAATAATTCTTTTTAATAATAATAATAAAAAAAATTAGAATCAAATATTTCTTCTACACAAACATACGCACATATATATATATATGTCATATTGTTATATATATCTGTGTATATGTATCTGGATCATTATATTTTAATACGATGTGAGTGTTGGTTCGAATAAAAATTAAAAAATTATAAAGGACCGACCTGATGATAGTTCGTCAAACAAATGGCACCAAGTGCTAATATCGAAGCTACCGAGGCTACAAAGAGCGTTCCCGTGTAAAGAGAAGTGGTCAATTTTCCTTCATATTTGTCACGAAGTATTTGAAGCTGTTCAACTCCGCTCTCGTCGTTCGTTGTACCAGTTGGATTTTCTGGAAAAAATAAATTTTACAAATATATTAATAAAAAAACATTCGTACGAAACGAAACATAACAGAACAAAAAAAGAACAAAAACAGAGTGCTTCTTCTTTTCTCGCGTTAAAAAAAAAAAAAAAGAAAAAAAGAAAAAAAAAAGGAAAAAGAAATAAACCAAAAAAGAAACGAATAAACCAAAAAAGAAAAAAAAAGTACAATTTTAACAGTCAAGTTCTCGTACATGTTAATAGAATTTTGAAAATAATTCAAGCATTCCCAATCGGTCCAAATCCGCCATATTAATTCTATATATTAAATAATAAAATTACAATGAAAAAATGTATATCCAACAGTAATGAGTTTAAAATAAAAAAAAAAATTATAAAAAATATATTTCCTTTTGTAAATAGAACTTCTTCTCTTTTTAAAAGAGAGAGCGAATGAGAGAGCGAGCGAGTGAAAGAGAGAGAGAGAGAGAGAGAGAGAGAATTTTCCTATTTCCTTATAATTTCTCATTTTACCTTTTAAACGTTCAGCATCGTACTAAATTCAATTGGGTCCTTTGCACCTTGACTCAATCGTTCGTTAACGATATCTAATTAAATATACATTCTAAAATTGAATTGATCGACGAGAATATTATTGACATTTATCGAGAAAAAGAGAGAAAGAGAAAGATAAAGAGAAAGATACAGAAAGAAAGAAAGAGAGAGAGAGAGAGAGAGAGAGAGAGAGAGAGAAAGATAAAAAGAGAAAATGAGAAAGAGAGAGAGAGAGAGAGAGAGAAAGATAAAAAGAGAAAATGAGAAAGAGAGAGAGAGAGTACCGTAAGACGTTTACAAATAATTAAATTAACATATCTTCGAGCTATTACGTTGATTAATTAAGTTTCAAAAATAACGAAGCTGTTTTATTTAAAAAAAAAAACAGAAAAAAAAAACAAAAAAAAAAAAATAAACGAGAGTACCTTTCAAACATATTGAAGGGTACTTTCAATAGGTGTACTATAAAATACTAATTCAAATACCGTCGTAAAAAAAAAATCTTTTTTTATTATTTTCGTATTTTTTTCACTCCTTTTTTTTCCTTTATTTTTTTTTTTCGTCTAAAAAATAAAAAAATCGCCTATCAGCGCGGACCCAATAAATAAATCCTATAAATAAATCCACAAAAAAAAAAAAAAAAAAAAAAAAAAAAAAAAAAAAAAAAAAAAAAACCTATACGAACTATTTTATTTGATTTAGATTTCGTTGGATTTCGATGTTTTTGACACTCGTAACTCTAATATTGTTTTTCTCATTTTTCATTTTTCGTTTCACCTTCTGTTCATTTTCATTACTTTCTCTTTCTCTTTCTTTTTTTTTTTTTTTTGTTTTTTGTTTTTCTTTTTCTTTATGAGGAAATAAAACTCGACCGAGTTACATGGCTTTACGTTCCAATTGTCATCGAATTTGACAACAACTTCTAAAGAATATTTTCTTTTAACAAGTTTAGATCGATTTTTTTGCATGATTCTTCAAATAAGAAGAAGATTATATGCTAGTTTTGATAAAGTGCGTAAAAGTTCGATTTTAATGGATACAGTACGATTTTTCTCATCCAAAAATATTCCCCCCGTCAATCCCCCCCACCCCGCTCCGCCCCGCCGTTCCATCGAAAAAGAAGCACGACCGACACAATTTGATGGGGAAGAGAGGGAGGGAAAAAAATGTCGGTAGCAATAATACGTAAAAATACGTGCAACTTGTGTAACGGTGATGAGTGTTTTCTTTTTTCTTCTTCTTTTTTTTTTCTTTTTTTTTTTTTTTACGGGACATTTTAGACGATGATGAGTCACTTGCAGATGCGAGTTTCAAGAGAAAAAAAAAAAAAGAAAGAAAAAAAACCATTGACAGTCATGACGAGAGCCTGAGAAATTTAACAGAAACGTTTGACCTTGAACCAGATATTATACATACATACACAAACAATGGGCTATGATCATACTGGCCTCCTTCTTCGTTGAGGATTTAGAGGGAGGGATCGTACAATATCGATGTGATATCGATCAGGATCTTTCGCATATTCGCATATTCGCATATTCTGACTCCCATTAACATATTAATGAATGAATATTGCATGATCATAATAAAAACCCATATAAATTTGTTTGTTTTGCTTCTCTTTTTATTTTCATTTGTTTATTTATTTTTTTTTTTCCTTTCTTTCTTCCTCTCTATCTTTTTCACATTTTCTTTCCTTTTTCTTGTTTACCCCTTTAAGAATTTTAATGAATAATTCCGTCGTATCGATTTGACCCGACAAAAAATCGTATAAATTTTATTCGTTCGTTCGTTCGTTCGTTTTTTTTTCTTTTTTTTCTTTTTTATATTTATTTATCTCTCTCTCTCTCTCTCTCTCTCTCTCTCTCTCGCTCTCTTCTTTTATTTTATTTTATTTTCTTTCTTTTCTTTTCTTTTTTTTTTTTTTTTTTTTTTTTATTACCCCAAAAATTTCCCATTGAAATCTTTTTCGTATTTAACTTTAACTCGTATATGGCAGGAAAAAATTTGATAACACCAAACAAGATCCTCTGCAATCCGATTTTGACGCCACTAATACAATTACTAATAAATAATTCCATATCGGACTCAGTGACCATAGGAAAATCCTATACATTTGTTTTTTTTTTCGATCCCCAAGAATTTACTATCAAGAGTCTCTCTTCGTCGAACGAACTAAATCGAACGAACGAACGAACGAACGAACGAACGAAATATCGAACGAAAAATTTGAAGAACCTCGAACAAAATCTTTCGCAATTCCGTATCCCTGATGCCACGAATATCGAACATTTACTAATGAATAATTCCATTGTACTAATTTGACCATAGAAAATTTTATAAATTAGTTTTGTTTGTTTATTTACTATTTTTTTTTTGTTTAGTTTAGTTCTTTCGTTTTGCTTTGTATTTCTTTTTTTATTTATTTTTTTCTCTTTTTTTTCTTTTTTTTTTTTGTTTTTCCTTTCTTTCCTTCATTGATCGACCTAATTCATATAATTCCTTATCATTCCTTGAGCATCATTGAAAATTACGATGATATATGTTCTTCATATTTATTTTGAAATGTTTCCATTTATTCGATGAATAAATATGTTTTATTAATTAACGATAAGTATTTCGGTAAAAAAAAAATAATAAATAATCGTTATATATGAATATTTTGATTAATATTTTTTTTTTTTTATAACATAAAATATCAGTACGTAATAGAAACGATCAATTATGAACAATATAGTGGGTTGATAAAGTTTGGATTTATTATATTATAAATATTGACTGTCCATTTTAAAAATTGTTTATATTCACAAGTATTTTCGTCAAAATATTGACAGTTGTTTTATTTTTTCTTTTTTTTTTTTTTCTTTTTCTGTTCCTTTTCTATTAATCATCGATCCAATACGTGACAATTAATTTAAAATATCGTTTTAAAAATGTTTCGAAATATTGACTCAAAATAAATAGCGGCCATTTTGAAATTCTGTAATAAGATGAAATAAAGATTATATTGTTGCGTCCATTTCCTTTTTCCTTTTTTTTTTTTTTTTTTGGAACATTTCACAGATAATTCGAAAGAGTCCCGGCGATATATCGTATGAAATAAGACCAGTCGAACTTGTCCATTTCGATTGGTTAATTTTTCAAAAGTAATTTCTTTTATATTTCTTTATCTAAAAAAAAAAAAAAAAACGAAGATCGTATCGAAAAAGAAATTAATTGAATCTCTCTCTCTCTCTCTTTCTCTCTCTCTCTCTCTCTCTCTCTCTCTCTCTCGCTCGCATTTGATTAATCTTTGTTAATAATCATCGTTCTCTTAATGGGGAAAAATTGATTTAAATTATCCGACAGGTATGTATCGATGTCGTTTATACATTACTGTTTCATAGATTATGTCAGCACCACAATATAGAACCAACTTCAATAATATTAATTAGCGAAACTTGAACGAGTAGAAACTTGATTTCCTGTTTCGTTAATCCAAATATATATTGTTTATCGTATACAATGATTCGCTTTTTAATTTGATTATAAGTAAATAAATATTATATACATATATAATATTCTCTTTTTATAAAATTAAATTTCATTAAATTTTCGTTCAAATAATTGTTATCGTCGAATATTTTTTTCTTCTTTTCGTTTTTTTTTTTTTTTTTTTTTTTGTAGAAAGAATTTCATAGAAATAATAATGATACATAGATATCATGTCTTTTCTTATTTATTTTTTTTCTTTCTTTTTTTGTTTTTAAATGTACTGGTTTGTCCTGCAAAGAATAAACAAAAAATATAAAAAGAAAAATAAAATATATTAATAATAATAATAATAATAATAATGATAATAATAATAATAATAATAATAATAATAATAATAATAATAATAATAATAATAATAATAATAATAATAATTGGAGGATTTTAAAGATGTCCATGATGTCCAGTCATTTTCAAAAGTGCGTTAACGTAATTGTAGCCGAATAAACGAGTAAGTCTAATCGGCTAATGAATATCAGTCGTGCCCAGATAACGACTATGAAGACAATAACAACAATGACGACGATGGTCAATGTCGCTAATTGTCCAATGATCTAAAAGTATGCCTAGTTAGTCTAACTTATCGCGCGTGCAAGTAACTATTTTTATTCCTCTTATATATTTTTATGTAATACATTTCTATTCTGTTTTTTTTTATTATTATTTAAATATATATATATATATATATATATGTATATGTGTGTGTGTTATCTTCAACTCAGTGATAACACAATGAATGTTTAGAAATAAAATACTACTCTGTTTCTATACTTTTATTCTTTTGTTATAATTTATATATATATATATATATATATATATATATAAATGTTCTCTTTAGATCATCAATGTGACCTGGTGAATGATTAGAAATGAATCATAATTTTAATCTGTTATTCTTGTTGCAAGATTTTTTTTTCTTTTTTCTTTTTCTTCTTCTTTTTT